TGCCCGCTTTTTCTTTGGTTGTTTTGTTGTTCTCGAGTTTGTAGCGATCGGCACACTTGTCGGCGTGACAGCTGGAGAGAACGGAAGATGGGGGAGGTCGTCCGGCTAAATAACTGAATAAGCTGGCAACGAACCCAGACGCAGACCGCGCTGGGTACATACAAAAAAGAAAGGGGAGGGCGAGTGGGGCCTTGATTCGAGGTGACGCCACTTGGGGCATCAGCTGGATCTGGGGCGAAAAGGGGAAGACTTGTATGGCCCCGCGCCAGGCTGGCATGTGTAAGCCCGGGATTGAACCGGGACGTGAGACAGGGCAGGTGCATACGGGGAGTGGTAGTGTGTGTGTGCCCACAGTCCATGCCCAGCGCTGACGAGGCGGGGCGAGAACCGGAGGCGGCCCGAGTGCTGAGAGGTGGCAGGGCCCTGCCCTGGTTGGAAAAAAAAAACGGAGCATCCGCGACAAGAGGATCGGATCGTGGAGATCCGTAGGACATTGGGCGGGGTGACATAACCCGGGGATGAACCCGGACGATGACTGGGCCAGGTCCGTGCGCCGAGGTAGGGTGGGACTGTAGTCGCACGAGGTTAAGAAGCCACGGGGGGATTGCCCCGGCCTAAGTCCTTCGGGACGCCTGTTAATATTGGAGCAGCGCAAGGGAGATCCGTGCGGCCTCGGCGCGAGGGGGGGGGGGATGGGCGAAATATCTGAGAATGAACCCGGACGCGAGCCGTGCCGAGTACACCGAACTATCTTGTGGCCAGATCCGCCCTGTGATTGTGTGTTGCAAAAAGAGAGGGGCGGGGATATCGAGAAGATTTGCATAGCCCCGCACCAGGTCGGCGCGCATAGAACCTAAGATATGGGCCGGGTCGACGCGATGAGGGCAGGTGGTATTGTGGCTGCACAAACTCCGAAAGGCCGCCGAGGCGTCGACGCGACGAGCAGTCCTTCGGGACATCCGCTAACAATCGGGCGATGCAGAGAAGATTAGCTTGTCGCCAGCACAACGACACGTATAAGTTGGGAGAGCCCGATTGCGGCGCGTTTCTGTTGGTAGAAGTTAGCGGACCCTGCAGCCTCAAGGAACTGGGGCGACGTCAACCGGAGAGGCACCGGACGACGAGCAGCAGGCCAGACGAGCACGGACGGAGCGTAGGAACCAGGACGGGGGATCGCGTCAA